ATCAAATGTCGGGAAGGCAGCACCAATCATGCGGAAACATGCAGTCATGGCCATGGCTGAAGCGAAGATGACGATCCAAAAGGTAAAGAAAGCTTCCGCGGTAGTCTGGAGTCCGACCATGAAGTATATGACGATTCCGAAGTGCGACATCTGGAACAACATCAATGGTATGTCGGTAGCGACCTGAGCGATGACGAAAGCGGCGGGGTAATGCAGTGCAAATGATCGATGTTTAGCCAGGACAGGCCGTCCAGTGAAAGAGTCTGTCACCTCTGAGAGCCCCATGTAGGCAGGGTACAAAAGGCAAAAGAACAGTGCGCCACCTTTGAGGAATAGACCGGCCGAGTGATCCGGTGCGGCGTAAAACAACGACCCGGCGACAAGAGCTTGGATGAGTGTAGAGACTTGCTTAACGATGAGCACGGGCTTATCACCCCACAGCACTTGGTACTGTCGAGTAACGGCTGTCTTGACCTGAGAGTAGAAGCTCGTAGTGACAGCGGCATTCTTTGGAAGGAATCTGTGCTTCTCCCGGGCTATCATCTCTTTGAAGTCGGTCGTATTCAGTTTCGCCTCCTCGCTGTGGGGGTAGTCGAGTTCCGCAACCATCGCTTGCTTGATGGACGAGTGTTCGTACGCCGCACGTACTTCTTCACCATTCCGCGGGAACTTCTGCTCATAGCCTTCGGCGACGGCTCGTACATCCGAGATCGTTACGCTGGTTAGAAAGTCGGCTTGGTTCGCCGCTGGGTCGCAGAGAAATCCGAGATCTTGCATGAAGGGTACCGCATCCTCTCTTGGACCATAATAGATCTGCTTTCCCTCATCGAGAATGAGTACTTTGTCGAACTGCTCAAAGATACCGTTGCCGGCTTGGTACAAGGTTGCAATGGTAGTCAACCCAAGTATATCTGTCATGGCACGCATGGCCTTCGTCCAATCCAGTGCTGTGCCAGCATCTAGACCGCGCGTAGAGTTGTCCCAGCAAAAAACGCTGCCGCGCGTTGCGAGACATTCCAAGATGGAAACGCGTTTTCGCTCACCGCCTGAGACGCCGCGAATGTACTCGTCTCCCACCTTGGTATCGTGTGTGTGCTCAATGCCGAGTGATTTTAGTAGAAACTCCTTGTAGACTTTCGCGTATTGTTCAGCGGAAGTGATGTCGGGCGGCAGGTTGTAGGGGACTTTCATGCGGGTTGCGAAGTCGAGGGTCGCACCGACGGACATGGTAGGGAAAAAGATCTCATCTTCTGTATTCATGACTGTGCGCAGGTCAGCATTTGAAGTGTTTCTTCACCAGAAGACTACGCACCTATCTGACCGCGGTAGGACTTGGCTTCATCACTGGACATGGACCCAAAGGAGACGTCCCCTTCAATATCGGCGTAACCCAGTCGGTGATTCGACAATATGTTCAGTAGTGAGGTACATCCTGCGCCCGGATTACCCAGAACGAGAAGCATTTCTGGAGAACTGTCAGTATCATCTGGTTTGCGCTTTATGGATAGGCGCGACATACCTCCAGGCTTCACACATCCGTACGAGTTGTCGATGATAGTCTTCATTGGTGTACCTTTTCCCCTCTTTCCAAATGGATTTAGCTGCGACAGTACGTTCTCGTTGAAGACGGCATCGTTGCTGATACCCTTGACTGTGAGACTTTTCCATGTCACACCCAACTTCCGGGCTTTGCCGCCATCAGCTTCGTCACGTTCCCTGAGTATTCTGACTTCTTGCGCGATAGGCCATGTTTCGCTGTGGATGGGTGCACTCTTAGAAGTGGGTAAGTAGTCTTGATCGACGCGCTCAGTGCTGTACCCAGAACTGGGAGTCGTCGATTGCATTTGCAGTGCGAAATTGTATAAATCAGATACGTGAATCGATTGGAGGCCAAATGTTACAACAGGAAGTTTGGTGTTGGCGGCTGGAAAGACGATGGAGTGACGAATGAATAGTGAGGACCAGAGAAACTGCAGGACTGGTAGTCCATATAGGCAAGTACCAATTATGCTTATCTACATCATCTCTTTCATATATCTAAGCCACTCCGTGCGCCATCTTGCAAAGCTCTTGGCCGGAGGGAGGTCGAACCGCATAATCTAGTGTTATGGAGGTCGTTCTGCAGTACGGCCGTAAGGCAAGAGTTGAAGAGACGGCCGTACCCTTGCGCCTCTTCGGGCCGTCAGACGTGCCCACAAGAGTCGGAGGATCAACGCTCCGCCAGACGCCTGGCTCTGACTCCGTTCTACGACAGATTAGAAATACAGCCGCGAAGATCCGATCGCTTACCTGGGCTGCTTTTGTTTACTGATACATTTGTGGGCATTGTTTTGTTGGTCACAAAGAATTCGCCGAGGACGTCAGCTTGGCTTTGGTTAAACAGTTATCTTTTGCGCATGTTTCTTGTGCGGTTGAAATATACTCATAACGATGCGCTTGTATTGGGAGGAAAATGTCAAAAACTTGAACGTCATCGCTTCTTGGATGCATCCCATGTACGTCGGACCGTGATGTGCAAGGCTGGGTACGTTTGGACTTCTCGGTAACCTTGTAAGTGTTTTCGCGCATGAATGCATCATCACTGTGTGGGCTATAAGGTTGTAGACAAATCGTGCTGGCAAGCCGGAAGGCAGCCTTAGAACGCGGCGAACGACTCGAAGATGACGTCATGTGATGATCGCCGATGATGACGACCTCGGCCCACGTTCTTCAAGAGAAAACCTCAACACCCTAAAGCCTACGTTGACGTTTGATTATCTACTTTGCATATTTCTATCTTGATGTAGGCTGCAGACCTGTTCAAGCTTTCCCTTGTATGAGGTGGGCCCATATGGCACTCAGTAACAGCTGGCATGGCGCGTGCGTGTCCGAGATGGACACCCGTCTCCGGAAATTACCACACGCTCAAGTCTAATGATGTACGGAGCACGCGTCGCGTGTTGGCCATACTCCACCGGAGTATGTATAAGACACGTCGATATCGTGAAGCTTGACTTCATGGAGATAGATCGGCTTCAAGGCACATAAAGGCAATTCAATCAGACAGCCGAAGAATAGTCTTGCACGAAGTTGAAGCTGGCGCGTGCCGACTGGTGACAATCACTGCCACTGTTTGATCACCAAAGAGGGCATCTCGGGCAAGAATAGTACGACTGTGTGGCACTAGAAGACTGCATTAAACCCGACTTCAACAATCGATACTTCCTTGCCTGGCCCGAGACTACCATGACCTTATGTTACGTCTCAATCCAAGATGCCGTTCGAGTTGGCGGCGAGCTTCTCCGTGATGGTTTTCGAAATGCTATGAGTATGGAAGAGCGTTGTGATATCATCAGGTCATTAGGCGGCGAGACATGTTGTAGGTAAGAACGCCCAGAAATAGAATACTTCGATCGGAGTTATCATGATCCAGGACCAGACGGTTGCAGCAACTATTGGCCCTATGATTTCAAAGAAGCCGACGTAAAGTTCGACCTTAAGCCGAGAAAATATGTTCTCCGTTGGGCAAAGAGGTACTGTGAAAGGAATGGGTGAAAGAAAGACTAAATAGTGTGGTAATATGATAGAGCTGCGGGCTTCTTTAGATCAGCTCACAGAATTCAGAATTCTTCCGCAATACAACCAACTCCTTCACTACTTATTCTCTCGCTTCGCCGAACGGGCTTTGCAAGGTTGTCTATCGCCAACGAGCATCATAAGCATGTGATACGATACGGTTCATAGACTATCCAGTCAAAAGCTGAATGAGGTTTAGTCTCCGAAGGCGACCACACGACTTCCCACATGTCTGTGTGGATTACTGGCGCAGAACGAACGTTGACAAAAGAGGCTTAGTCTCCGAAGATTTAGGCCCCCGGCTAACCATGTTTCGAACCAGCGCTTTGAGGGCTTGACCTTGACGCATGCCAGAATTGCGAGATAATCTCGCGCGCCTCTACACTGCTCATTGGGCGTCCATGTATGTCACGTGCCCAACCATACGGTTAAGGTTGTAAGTAGCATACGAAGAATGCGCAAGTGCTTGTCAACTTGCGGTTATATCCGCTGATCAAGGTGTCTGAGAACCTGCGAAATCATGCAGCACTCAGAGCCTCTTCCCATCGTTGTCGGAACTGTTCCTCTCCGCGCTGAATCTTGTACCAGAGCACTGCTTCCAAGCGCGAACGAACCTCTAACCACGTACACAGTGCTAGATCATGAGCTAGAGTCGTGGCATATGCACTGAACCAGCCAGATGTATCTGCGTCCTGTGATGCAACCATACCGATGGACAATACCCACAAGGCGATTCCAGCGTTTGGAGTCGCGAATGTAGGCATTAAGTCCACGAGATGTCTTTTGAGTTCCATGACTAAGGTGGACTGTAAATGCGCATGCGAGAAATATGTCGGTCCGTGGATGATGAGCATGTACAATGCTATGGCGTATCGAATGCATTGAGAAGTCGTACATGAGCTCGAGTGTCTAAGTTGTGATTTCGATGGTGACCAGGACAGTAACTTATGCAAGACGAAGCATGTTAAGTCATGCAGATGAGTAGTTGAGAGCTCTTGCTGGTGCGGTACGTGGAACACATGTCGAAGCCGCATGAAAACATCGCCGATTGTGGGATCCATGTCGAGTTCCGAAAGGCTGGGTGAAGACTGGTCTTGAGAAGACGCTGATAGATCTAACCATTTCGATATTGGGGCTATTCCGTCTCCAACATCCAGATGATCTTGGACGCTAAATTGCGGACTTTGCGTCAGTATCAATGAGACCCTAGATTTGAGGATCAGTAGAGCGATCGTAGATAGCGGACGAGGAGTGACATGATTACCACGTGACCATCCGCGCTGTAAGGGGGCTTGTGAGTTTCAAAAGATGTATACCGCCTCGCATTCGCACCATTTTCTTAACGCCGTCGATGTGCATGCTACCAACTGTCGAATTGCCTTTGCCAAACTATAATGCCAGATGTCAGCGTATCAAATGGAGGAGCCCCAATCTTCAAAAGATCATCATACCTCTATGGCAGCGAGCGTTACCACCGAGTTCATGGTTTCGTCCTCATAAGCCTGAAATGGGTCTTCAACTCGTCGCCGGACTAATGAAATGGAGTCTGCCATGAGAACCTCAGAGTTTTCGAATCCATTCTGGGCTCTCATCTCTATGTCCAACGACGCCGTCTGGAGGCTGACGTGAAACAAAGCTGAGTCATGCCTAAAGACCGATGTACGGAGTTAGTAAATGTCTCACATCAATTCGTACACGGATATTACTTGCAGTGCAAGTGGCCACCATGACACAACGAAAGGGTTTGACATTGCGTCGAGATCCAATGGATAATACTGGAAGGCGATGTTTGACAAAACTATGGCGTATCAGTAAATAGGCTAGTTACAAGAACCTTTAGCAAGAGAGAGATTCCAGATACTACACAACATCAAGGGGGTCATGGTAGTGTTGCAAAGTTGTCGGCATATCTGGTGTGGCTTCTGGTACGTACAATGAATGATGAGTTGCTGAACGCGAGCCCGGGGTAGTCTTGTCGCTGGATAAGTGTCGAAAGGGTCGAAGGCCTTATTCGCAGGATGATTCCATAGTGCAGGCGAGGTAATTGTGTCATTACTTATGCTCCGGGAAGTATAATTAGAAGATATATTCTCGGTGGATGACGAGGTAAGTGGCTCGTTTACGTAGACACAGCTGGCTTTCCGTTTTCGACAGCGTGAGCATTCGGGTGTGCGTAGATCGCAGCTCAGTTTCGATCTCGCACAAGCATCGCATGATCTCCTGAGCGTCCTACGCATTGTGAGGTATTCTCCAGAGGTTCAGGCATGACCTTTGTCCGTGATGAGGGGATGGAGTGCTTCGCATGCGGGAAGACGCGGGTCACCTCGCTTACGTTAGCGTCGACAAGGGTTGGTGTGATGGGCTGAGCTCGTGTGCCCGTCATCAACGCGATTCTCCACTGTCGGAAAATGAACCCTCCACGTGAGTCAGGCAACGCCTCCTTCTCAAAATTTCTCATTGCCGTGGCCGGTATTCACTTCGGCAAGTCGCATATCCGTAGCCAGAGTGGTCGTACCTGAACAGCTGCGCAGTATGCTAGGCGGATGTAAGAGATTAAGACATGACGATCTTGTGGGACACAAGCAGCGCAACAACTCAAGAGGCGTCACATCGTTCTAACATGACAAACAAGTGCTCAGCAGTTTTCAAATAAAGATGGCCTCACCTTGCAAAGGACTTTGGCCCATCTATGAGCTACTGAGCCATTCACCTATGCATATGCGGCACTACGAGACAGCGGCGTGACCAGGGCATGGATCTCAGCACAGTGCTTACAACATTAAATTCTTCACTTGTATCCAAAACACGAGGATGCTATTTACGCGAGAACACTCTTTGCAGACGCAATTTACACGTCGACCCCAGAGTAGTCAACCACGACCCCGATCGCCACCCAGTCATATGCACTGCAGATCTGGCCCTTCCAGAAGTCCGACCATGCTCGTTCTGCGATATTGCGGAGAAGCCCAGAATAGCCCGATCGCCCACCAAGATTGCTGTCATTCTCGGTGGTAGTGACGGAGACAAGGGTCATAAGACCTGGAACGCGGCTCGCTTAATCTGGGTAAATGTCAATGGTATGTGGTCGAGAGCGGACGGAACCGCTATTGGATATTGGGCATAAAGGGACGACAAAGTGCTATACGGAGCCCATAACTCGTAATTGTCTGGAAGGTATGCAGATCTCGTGGGAAGTTCTGATGTGGTGTCGGTCTTTTCGGGAACTGTTTCAGTATAAGAAGAGCTCTGGATCGCGCTCGTTGTAAGAAGTTGTTTGAGAAACGTATTCTAACCTTATACCAAGACATTGCCTTTGGCTCGACACACGTGCCGCACTCTAGACAATATTGTAGTCTTGTTACACCTGCCATCACTCAGCCGCTATCATTAACGATGCGTTCCCTCCTTCCCCTCGTCACCCTCCCGCTCCTGGCCCTCGCGGCCCCACCAGTCTCTCCAACAATAACGCGGCTCGTTTTCTCGGGCTCAGGATGTCCCAATGACTCTGGTTCCGTGAAGTCCGATACCGCAACCCTCGGTGACAGCGCCGGCGTCTCTTTCACGCAACTCAAAGGCGACACAACAGACAACTGTGCCGTACACATTCAGTCAGCTGGAGCGAGCGAAGGCTGGCAAGTTGCGGTTCGACAAGTGGACTACGTGGGCGATGTAAATTTGAAGGGAAACAGCGGACTGGATACATACACCCAGGTCTTCTGGAGTGAAAATGCTGGAAATACTGTAAATAGCCATCATATTGAGGTTGAACGGGGAAGCGCTAACGATATCCAGGGTGTGCTCACAGGTGGTCTCACATGTGCTGGCCCAGAGATCAAGGACTACATTACTGTGCGGAGCAGCACCGCAGATCTGAAGTGGTCAAAGTGTACTGGCGCAGATGGAAATCCTGGTATATTGAACGTCAACTTTAGGCCAGTCGTCCAGGGGGACTTTGGTACATATGACTTCAAACACGCTGCGTGGAAGTTGGAATGGCGGAGATGCTAGAGTGGTACGAAGGTCTGCTTTTGAAGAAGAAGAGAAAAGCATGTGTATAACAAAACTTGGTGCACGAAATGCAAGCAGAAATGAAGATGAACAACCTTGGTCGATTCTCTCATATGCTGCGGATAGCAGCCTTTGTATTCTTGTTCAGCTAGCTACAATCATGCCGAAATATCCACCAGGACGTGCGCTGCATACGCAGGCTAGATGGTAATCTCAGACCGCCTCGAGCGCTGCGACTTGAGGCGAGAACATAAATACAGGAAACTCAAACTTAGGATCGCCAGGCCCGGTCTCGGTAGGCGCGTCTTCAGGTGCTCTAATCGGGGAAAGCCCTGTCAAACCGTTAGCAGTTGTCATGCCCCGTTTGGAATGATCATGACCTACTTGGGCCATCTATCTCGCTTTCCAATCCAGCAATAGCCGCGTTAGGTTCAGAGTCAGCGTATGGAAATCTAGGATCGCTATCTAGGTGGTCCATGGCAGTATGAAAAAGGATGTTGGGCTTTGTGTGGTTGTCCGGACTGTCTATCAGCACGCCAGCGTGCCAGTTCTGCTCAAGTCGTCAGAGGACTTTCATGGCATCGTCGCGAATCGATTTGAATCCAACAAAGACCGATACGATTCCAGCTACTGCAGGAGTCGCAAAGCTAGTTCCACTGTCGACGACCCATCGTAGATCACCATAGTGCGATGGTCCCCGAAGCTCCTGTGCCGGAGCGAATATTGTTACACCTGTGCCACAATTGGAAGTTACAGTCTTCTCGTATTTTTGGTCACTCCACCGACGTAGATGACGTCTAGGTAGCCACAGGGTTTGCTCCCACCATCTTTGCCCTCATTGCCAGCAGAGGTCACTACCAGGATTCCTGCTTCGATGGCTTCGCGCATCACTTTCCTGGGTACAGGTAAGTCGATTCCTACCGACGACATGTTGATTACAGAACCCTTGAAATTGCTATCCTGATACGAATCAGTGAAGAATATATAGTGCAGCCCGACGATCATACTTCCTTCATCTTATTGGCATTGTGATCATCGGTCGTAATTTGGGGAGGAAGCCTTAGAAAGCGATATGAGGAACTCTACAGAACAGGAATAACATAGCCTCATATGGAACAAAGAGGTTTAATGTTCTTCGCAGCCGTACTCCGGCATAGGGAAGGGCCCAAAGTTGCAGTCGACCGATTTCACACCCTCGTCAGATCTTATCCTCATCAAAAGTTTGTCGCCAACGTCTGAACATGAGTAGACTATATGATTTCCGCCGCGCTTGTCAAAAGACCACCCAATGTAATTACGCATATCCGTGCCCCAACTGTACAGTGTTCTTCAACGGTATGGCCTGGACGTACGCTAACAATAAACTCCCCTGGCACAACGTCACCGTGCTCGTTGTTGGTTCGAAGCAGGGCTTAGTAGGTCGCAGAAGAGTTGACAGCCGCGTCAGGCTTTTCGATCGGCCTAAAGTTACAGTCCACCATCTCCGCGCCGGGGTCCGATCTGATACGCTGCAAGAGACTGCCATTCACTTCTTTGAATGCGTACACGACCTTCTCTTTCAAGTGCGTATCAGGCCCTTTTCGGATATATGCTTCCATTCTGGTGCCCACAGCCGCTGAGTGAGCTGGTATAAAGTGACCTGGGATCAGGTATACCAGATACTCATCGGGTATCACCTCGCGGTCTACATCGTTGACATATCTGAGGCGCGGTATATTCCCGAGAGGACATGGCAGGATATAAACGCCGGCCGGTTGACCAGCTTCTGAAGGACGCGGTGAGCTGGCTAATGCAGACGAACAGATCGCGAGAACGCAAGTGTCCAGATCGAAATAGATGACTTAACGATGCAGAAGGCTGGAGATTGGAAGCGCAGTGCTGTACTTCTGCTTGTCTCAAGTGCTGCTGAGGGTGGCTGTAGAATGCCAGTAAGAACGCGCAGGTGGCGCTGCTGTCATCGTGCGGCGTAGCCAGAAGCGCCTTGTTTGAGCTTGCAATGACACGCATCGACCCATGCAGACGATCATAGCAGCCGGGGGCGTCGATGTAAGCTTACGACACTTGAAGCAAACTCCCTGAATGGTTGCATTGCAGCGGCGGCGATGCTCAGGTGGCGCGTGGCTGCGCGCGACACCGACGCGTCTAGCGCGATCTCGGGATGCTTGGGGTGAACCAGCCGATCGACGTCAACCTGTTCAAGGTCAACGAGGGCTCCATGACTGTCGTTGCCCTTCATATCGTCCCAACGACATCCGGAAACAAATTCGTGGGTAAGGTATACCACTATGGGAGGGTGTACCCATATACAGCATGGCAGGCAACAATCCATAAGCTCCGCACTGAGCGGAATTCCGCAACTGTGCTCAAGTGCCAGTCGTTTGTGAGTAGATGCCTGGGCCTACATAATCTTTTTGCCGCAACCCAATCGTCTTATACAGGCGCGTGATAGTGACTTGCGGCCATTGTTCGCATCAAGCTCTCATACTCTAGCTGCTCTCAGATACCAATACACAATATCAATTCCAACGGCAAATAACCTCAGATATGGATCCTCGTACAGTCGGTACGGTATCCTAACCAGGTTCAGAGCTTCCGCTAACCAAACACCAAGACTTGTCTGCAGCAGCGCAAGATGCTTTCGCGACCTTTGTTGAGGACGAATCCTTCTTCGCTCTCAGCTTTTACCTAGCAGGCAACAGTAATATCGAAGCTTGCGCGCCCATCCGCGAGAACCATGCATCCTTCCAACTCGAGCTGAACCAGCTTGAAAGCAGTCTTGATACGTCGAAGCCAGCGTACATCATTCTCCGCCGCGGTGACTCACTCACGTTCATCACATACGTGCCGTATCGCGCGAAGGATACCATGCGAGACTTCCTCCTCCATTACAGACACGATGTTGTACGACAACTTGGTCCAACGCACATCTCAAGCTCGATAGTATGCAAAGAGATCGCAGAGATTACAGATGCTCGATCGTGGGCAGAGCGAGATGCCGCTGCTACCCTGATAGACGATATAAGCATTCAAGACAACAATCTAGAATCGTGTACGAGTGCCGCGCATGCTGAAGACGCCCGAAGGGATATAGGATATAGGAAGAACAAATGCCGGCTTTGTGATCGCCGCATGAAGAATAACATATCGCCTGAAGCTCTTGCAGCGCTAAAGGTGCTCCAAGGCTCCGGAGCAGCCGTACAGATCGTAGGGCATTCATCTCAATAGTAGCTATAAGGCGTGATTGCTGACTTGCTCTAGTCCGTCGACGGCACTACCGAGACTCTCAAGCTGAACTACATCAAGAACGAACTATCCCCAAAAGATGTCGCAGCAACCCTACCATCCGACAAGCCTAGTTTCACCTTCTACCGCCACCCCACCACTCATCTACTCTACTTCATCTTCCACTCGCCCGACCATGCCACAGTGCAGCAACGCATGAAGCATACAATGGCCATACCGGGTCTGATCAATATCCACGCTCAAGACCAAGGCGTGCATGTAGACCAGAAGATTGAGATTCACGATCCGGACGACTTGGTCTTTGGAGCCAAAGACGAGCGCATTGGTAGGTTCAGGAGCGTGTATCTAAGGAACGGGTTTGACGGGACGGAGAGCACGTATGATGGTCTGGAAGGCGACAAAGCTTTTTACGACGGGATCAAGTAGCGCATCTTTTATACATGACTTTTGTAGATATCACTCTCGTCGTTCACCTACCTCAATTCTACCACACCCGTCTCACGACTTTACCTCGTGAATATACTACGCCCGCTCGCCTCTTTCAGTTGAGGCTCAACACTAATCAACAAAGTGAAAGCCTTCTGGCACACGGTGTGCACATTGTAAGGTGATTGTTGGTGGTGATTGCGGAATTGACAGGAAGGTTTACACCAGCAAAGAGTAGTGGTGTTGAGGAACTGATTAGAAACTTATGCATACACCCATATGATAAGAGAAGCAACCACACCTCCCTCCTCGCTGAATTCTATCATCCATGAGGCACATATCAAATCATCAGGAGGCGTATCAGTCTAAAGCGTGTTTCTCATAGCCTATGGTATCGTACAGTACAGTAGATGCGCGAATGCTGCACGGAAAGGACAAAACGCCATCTGCTTATATGCAAGTTTGTATGCCTTCAACCCAGTATGCAGCGGAGATGATGTGTGGGGGAAAAGAGTAGATAACACAAAGATGACCGCGCCGATGCAGAAGTATAGACTAGAAAACGATGAAACTGGAAATGAAAAGAACACCATGCATGAATGCTACCCCTTCTCCCAAAAACAGGACCGGGAAAAACGTCGTTCCCTCTCAGCGCCGATGCAGGAATATGCGAAAGACCTAGACTTAGATGGATGGAGACGTCGCGTGGGGATACTGAGATGACTGTATGCGTTTGCGTGCGACATGAAAGGCCCGCTTACGCATCTACATCGTCTTCCTGATACGCCTCCTCTTTCGCCCACTGTCGACTTCTACACTTGTGCTCATCGTATCCCTTGCACTCCGTGGGGTGGAAAACCGTTCACGGATGTGCTCCCGGATGACCTTCTTGGTCTTGTCGCGCTTCAACTGGCGCTCCTCGTCTGGGTCGACGAAGCGATGGACAGTGCGGTGATCACGTATGCGCTCTTCCTTGTCGTGCTTGCCCTCCTTCTCCGTCTTGGGCCAAGGGAAGCCGTACAATTTCGAGTGGCGTTCGCACCGCGGACATTCTTTACGCGTGTTGTAGCCGTCTTGCTGTACAAAGTCGACGTCACATGTCTGGCAGTTGACCCACTTGGAGTACTTGGCTGAGAGGAGAGCGTTCGATGTCATGTAGTCGCCCGGCTTTCGCGTGTTCTCGACGTAGTCGGCTTCGTCTCCCTCTTCAATCGTGATTGGGGTACCAACGCGGTTCTGGACGTCAAAACGAGACTTTGAGCGTGTTGTTCGTAGTGTTGGGCGAGGTTTGCGCTTGACAATCTGCTGGTTCACATCGTCAAACTCGAAGCTCTCAGAAAGTTCGCTGAGATCGGACATGTATGCGTCTTCGTCTGCAGGCGGGGAGGACCACGGGGCGTTTACCGTTGTCGTAGTGATTTCCTCCTTCACTATCGCCACTCCCATCGCTGGGCAATCTTGTATTGTCGTGGAGTCGACCTGCTCCTTGGGATCGCCGACGTCATGCGCGTGATCTTCGTCAATCGAGGTGGCATCTGTAGATGATTGAGTCGACTTGGGTGACGCTGCTGCTATGGACGATTGCGGGGATGCCTCTCGCGACGAACTGGTCAAGTCTGTGTTCACCGTAAGAACACCTTCTCTATGTTCATTGCGAACTTCTTGCGTTATCTCTGACGATGAGACCAAATTGGTCGCTGGATCCTCTATACTCGAGACCGGGAGCTCCTGACGCAGGGACGATGTGCTATGTGCCTTCTTCAGCGTCGTCTTGCGCAGCAGATTCGATGTGTGCTGCTTGGATGGCGAAGTCTTCTGCTCAAATCTTGCTCGCTTTGGCGCGGGTGTCGAGTCACGCGAGGGGTCGTCGTCCGTTGAATCTTCCAGTGATCGCTTCTGTGAGATGGCGGCAGCCTCGGAAGCGGTGTCGGCCGTCTGGTCATGGCCTGCGTCCTCCACCCCTTCGGCATTCTCTTCGTCGTTGTGGTCGACTCGCTTCATAGGTGCCCAACCGTTTTGCTGAAGGCTTTCGCAAGTATTACACAAACACTCCTCATTATCGTCGCCGAAGTAGTCCTCGCCGTACGAGACTGTAATTTCTTCTCCTTCAAAAATCGGCTTCACTGCAACAATCTGCATGCCATCATAGCCTTTGGTTGTGAGCTTTGCGTTTGCGTCGCAATCGTGATTGGCGAAGCGCGCGGGACCTAGGAACAGCGAGCGCGTCTTCTTGCGGCTTGAAATAACCAGACTGAAGTCCTTGCTCTGCAGCTCTAGAACCTTCTCTTGCTCCTCAGTCATAGCTACTTGCACCCCAGTCAAGTACTTGATTTCTTCGCGTGGGTTGATGTCTCGTCGCGCGGTTATTGAGGCCTCGTGTTCCGTAATCATGTATCGGTTGGTGGTGGTGACCTCGAATTGGCAGTCGGCCATGTAGATGTTGACGTATCTGCGGAGATGGCGCCTGAACTGATCCTGATCGCGCTCATCCTTCAGGCTGTTCACGAACCTGCGCAACCCCGGCAGTTGCACCAACTTGTGCACTGCCTCTGCAGGATCCCTCTCCCAGACTACGTGTCGTCGGATCACGTCGGCCACATCCTCCTCGTGCAATCCCCGCGAGCCTGTGAAGCGGCCACCTCTGTTCTTGCGAATCTTGGCCCAGAAGTAGAGTTTATCCACGAGCGCGTCGGTGATGATGTCGTCGAAAGTGGCGAGCTTGTCCAGCGTCAGTTTCGTCGAGGGCGCCATGATGGCGCGATCGGGTCGATGATGTCGAACGTGCCTGCGCAATCAGCCGCCGGTCGTGGAGATCGTAAGGAGTCGTAGGGTTTCGCGATTAAGGGGGAGGCTGGCAGGGCTGGCTGACGTTATGGTGACCAGCAACGACAAGTCATTGACCGTCGCGTACAACAATACCACAAACGAAAAGAAAGAGCGTGCAGACGACGCGCACAAGGGAAGGAGCGAGCGACGGAACGCACGGGGGATCCAACACTCGCCCGATAGTTTACGGGAGTACGGACTCGACGGAACTAGCCCTGCAGGCTATGGAGACCCGCATGCGGCGCATGGGGTGAAGGGATAAGCGAGCATCATCGGGGCCCCTGCCCATGTGCGGCTAAACTGCGGTGGCACAAGTTCGACTTGCGACTTTGACAGCGACCAAGACACACGCCCAACGTCAACACCACCACGCCGCGCGCATCGAGGCAGGCAGTCGAGATCGGGATACCAAGAGAAGCCACACAGGATGATTCAATTAAAGGTGTGCTGGGCCTGTCACGGGCGGCAGAGCAAGGACTGATGGATGCCCTTCTAGACCCTCGTAAATTGCATCGACAACTCGGGCGCCGCCATAGTCGAGTGCGTCAATGTCCTGCGATCGAAGCGTCCCGCGAAAGTTGGTATGTGCGCGAAACTCGAAGGCAGGGCACGAAACTGATGGAAGCAGGCGACCGCATAGTAGTGGTTGTAAAGAAACAGCGAAATTTCGGCCCGGAAACCGGCAACAGCGTCTCCATCAGCGCAGCGAACAAAGTACGGCGAGGCGACGTCCGACATGCAGTTGTGGTACGGACAGCCAAGAAGTGGCAGCGGCCGGACGGCAGCGTGGTCAAGTTCGACGACAACGCCTGCGTGCTTATCAACAAGGCCGGAGAGCCCATTGGATCGAGAGTCAGTGGTGTTGTCGCGGCAGAACTGAGGCAGAAGCAGTGGTCCAAGATTCTATCGCTGGCGCCCATGCACGTATAACGGCTGGCATGTGGGTGGGATGAAAGATGCATTTTTTGGGAGTCTATGAGCGCTTTGGAATGTAACATTATGTGTATGCCACTACGATTGTACCCATGGGTATCTCAACAGCTGTTCCCTAAACTCCTCGCAGCAAATATGTGAGATTAAACGCCAGCTACATGCATTCCATATCGTCATTCTCTTAGTTATCGGACGGGCGTGAGACGTGACCGCATCCGGCGCACACGTAGTAAAGGGCCTGGACCGGTCAGAATGGGTTGCGAACATGCACGAAAAAACTTACCATGCCCGTCTCGGCGGTCCGCTGCTGCGACTGGAAGAAGACGGCTTCGTTCTCACCGCACTCTGTGCATTGTTTCTGGATGCGCGGTAACTAGACGCAGGCACAGTCAGCGAGCACGCTCAAGAGCAAGCAAGCAACTGTACTGGTGGAAGACGCAGCAGGCGCTTTCAGGACGTGGGTTCGTCCCACATGTCCTCGTCAAAGTCGTCGTCGTAGTCTTCAAACATTTCATCCTCCTCGCGCATCTGCTGCTGGGGGCGCTCTGCTTGCGGGTCCTCGTCCTCGGCCTCGAGGGCAAAGCCAGGAGCCGATTCCTCGCCGCACTCCTGGCACATGATGGGCATGCCGCACATGGTGCAGCAGGGCATCTCCTCAGAGAGAGCGGCCTGGGCAGCTTGGGCATCGGACAGGGAGTAACCAACCGTGGGATCCTGAGCAACCTCGGCTGTGACACCAGCTGTGGCTCCGACTGTGGACGCGATTTCGTGGCGCATGACGCAAGATGAGGGCGCTTCTTCGGTGAAGTTGCATGTGCGGCAGGCGAAAAGCAGCTTGTTCTCGGATTTGTCTTCGCGGGGGAACAGCAGGTTGGAGCTGCGTGTGGTTAGCCAGGCTTCTTTGTTGCAGAAAAGGCGACGCACCATTCTGAGCAGAAGCGGAAGAGAATGGGCTCCTTGCCGCCCTTAGAGCCGCCCATTTGCGCTGCTGGTGAAGCCATGCCGAGTGGGTGTGAGGTCGTAAATCGTAAGTGTGCGTGTGGATCGTCGTGACGGCTGTTATGCGCGTGTGAAGAGACAAAAGCGTCGAGGAAGCCTGAGCACAAAAGTTGAGTAGGTACAGAGACAGAGTCACGTCGGCGAGCGCGGGCCACCCGTCTTGATTCGCGCGGCTTCCGTTGCTGTGGCAGAGCCGCGTTCTTTGTTTGGCAGGCGCCCCCGCATTATCGACCTTGAGGCGCCGATCGCCCTGTCCACCGCCTGCAATTCTAGACGTCGCTCCACGCTGCACGCACAACTGCCCGTGCGGAGACTCCTATCAACCTCTGCACTGCTTGCCTTCCCCCTACCACCGCCTACTCCGTCCAGCATCACGCATACATCGCCAGCAACAATGGTAAGCATTGCGCCCGTCGTCCCGACCCATCTCGCACCCCCTCACGCATCCTAGTCGTCCGCTGAAACTGGTCTCCCCGAGGGATGGGAGGTGCGCCGCTCCAACACCAAGAACCTTCCATACTACTTCCACGCCCAGACGAAAGACTCGCGATGGGAACCACCAGCCGGAACCGACCCGGACAAGCTCAAGGCATACATGGCCGCCAACCACAGCTCCAAGGGCGTTGCGCCCGCAGCTCTCGCGCCGACTGAAGGCAAGATCCGATGTGCCCATCTCCTTGTCAAACATCGCGACAGCAGGCGTCCGGCTAGTTGGCGGGAGCCCAAGATTACGCGCTCGGTCGAGGACGCCCGGCAGATGATAAAGGAATACCAGAAGCAAATACAGGCGTACGAGAGTGGCCAGGAAGATGGCAGCGCCAAGTCTCTGTCTGAACTCGCGACGACCGAGTCGGACTGCAGCAGCGCTCGCAAGGGGGGCGATCTGTGAGTCCCTGCGGTGGGAGATGTAGCGGGAAACACTAACGTCATCAGGGGCTTCTTTGGCAAGGGCGACATGCAGAAGGAGTTCGAGCAGGCTGCCTTCGCCCTCAACAAGGGCGAGGTGAGCGATCTGGTCGAGACGGCATCGGGGGTGCACTTGATCCAAAGGTGGGACGAATTTCACATGTCTCAGTATGATGCTAACCATACGCAACGCAGGTTGGAATAGTCAATGCGTCGCGCCAAAACTAGGGCAAACAAAGCGTCATGTACTGTGATGAGGGGTTTCCTGGGACGCGTGCGGGCTGTGCAGACGCGTCGTGGATAACCGCTCAACACCAAGACAATCATGGTAGTACTAGTAATACTACTATCATGAGATATGCATGTGAAGTCCAGGAGCGGGCGCAGCACGTTGGCCGTGTGTCGTGTGTGGTTGCGGGTGTCGTCTGTCTGCTAACATGATTACGTCCTTTGCAGTTTCCCCTTGGTCGATCCGCGTTGGTTAGGGACCGTACGTCGTTGCACGCGTGCTGACGACAAGCAGACCACAATCGAGAGGGCGATAGAGTTTGTGGGGCCGGAACCAGACGCCTTGAGATAATTTTTTCCCAGTCGCCCGCACACAGCCCACGGCGGCCAAATTCGCGCGCTGCTACAAAAGCGCGCACCTGGACATCGTCGTCGCATCCCGTCTCTCCGTACCGCTCTGCGCTTGGACAGAGACTTCGGCTAACGCGACTTCCCCCGCCAAAGCCATCGCTGCGCTACTGCAGTAAGTAGGCGCCGGCCTCCAAGTACCTCAGTCAGCTGACGTTCAGACTTGAAACCCGCATACTAAAGCCCGTCTGGGAGCAAACCTCGAGCCGTCTCCCACTCACTTCGCCTCGCACTCGCACGGTTTCAGTGCGTGTGGCTGGTTTCGGCATCCCTCAGCCTGCGCCTCGCCCCCAAGCCATCCCGGTTCCGGATCAGCCCGAGAAGACAAGGAAGCGGCGGCCCAGTGACGTATCATGTAAGTTGGCTGGTTTTATCCTTTTTTTTGCATCAGCCCACCTCAGAAGACGAGGAGCAGCACTGTCGGGCGCAGGTTCTAGACATGCCCAGCAAGTTCGTTTTGGGATCCTGCTGCAGCGCCGTAGTGTGGCGGGCATGCCGTGCAGCGACTGGGTGGCCATCATCCCGAGCGTCTGGGTGTCGTGCCCTAGCACCTTTTGCATGGTCGGCGCACGCACAACGCTTTTCCCTGCGTCACAGTAGCCTGCAATTCGACTGTCAAGCTCCTGGGCATTTGGGCTCACCAACCACAGCGTTCCCGCCCCTTCACCCTTCCTTCACCACCGCGGCGCTGTGCTTGCACGCCAACCCCGATCGCACCGCCCGTGCAGCTGCTCTCACTGTCAATTGACGTAGCTACCCCGTCAAACTGCAAACTGTATGGGAAAGTCCTGGGGCCGCACTTTCCCATTACCATCAGCTCACGCACCAACGCCGCCCGCGAAGTGTCCGCATACCCCTGCCGACTCCACACGGCGCCCTGTTTACTCCGCTAACACCTTCGATCACCAGCGCTTCCGCGATCTTTCACCCTTCCACCTCCACCACCTCACACACAACCTTTTTGTCTAGAAGATTCCCGTCGTTCTCTACAAATACCACTCACGCTCCTTTGAGTCTTGACAGCGCCACTCACTGCAGCGCTCCCGCTAGCCACTATCCTACTCCACCCTCCATTCTCCTTCGACCAAGACTCCACACAGACCTACTCAACCTACCTCGTTGCCGCTATGGCTGCTCCACTATCTCCCCACCCTGTCTACCACGACCCCATCCCAACATCCCGCCGTAACTCCAGTCGCAAGACCATCTCTTGCCTCTCACGCACTCCCTCCAACGTCGATGCTCCTCGCACTAGCTGCCCCAAGGACGGTGATGCATTCAGTTATGATCCCTCTCACCTCCGCCACTGGTACTGTCCCCAAGAGCTCTGGGACCGTCTTCCCAAGCAAGTCCAGTCCTGCCTCGGCGATGTTCAGCATGCGGGTGCCGCTGTCCTGACCGGTAAGTCCAACTACGTCTCAGGCACTTGGTATCGTACTAACCACAAATAGGCTTCGAGCGTCTCGACAAGCACCTCGACAACTTTGATGATAGTCAAGTCGACCCCAGGGCCACTGGAGACGAGCTTCTGGTCCACCTCGACGAGCTCCCGCCCCCAAAATTCCGCACAGTCAGCAACGCCAGCAGCGTCTTCCAGTCTGACACTTCTTCGCCTCTCACCAGCGCATCATCCGCTTCTCAGTCAGGGAGCGCCTCTCCTACCACTCCCGCCTTCTCTATGTCTCAGATCATGTGCCCTGGCTCGCCCATCTGCTTGGGTCCCTCGGAGCTCTCCCGCTCACGTGAGCGCTCCTTCTCTACGCCGCTTAGATCGCACGACGCCAAGTACGCCGCGGAGCTGTCGCATCTACGTACCGAGGCCCTGCCACGTCTACGCCACAAGTCTTACAAGGTCGAGACCGAGTGGCAGGAGGCCAAGCGTGTCCCGGGCGCCATATCTGCAGATGACATCAACGCCTTCGAGAATTTCTGGGCCGAGAAGAAGTTGCTGATCCTCAGTCTCAATGAGCGGGGCAAGCGTCTTGCGAGTGCCGCTGGTCTTGCTACCACCGGACTCGGCTGGTGCGCCCCGTAGAGGCTAGTGAGGTGGATCTCCTCGACTTGGTCACTCGAAATGGTTCACTGAGCGCATCGGTCACGCGACATGGCGCAGCACCCCCAGCTGCAGCCTGTCGACGACCATGAACTTCTTTTCCTTTCCCATTTCCTTGAAGTCCTGTTTCCTGGTTTCTGCTTCACTTCCTGTGCGTTACAAGCGAGGAGTTGGTCGGTCGGCATTTATTCATGTAGGCATCTACACAGCAGATCGGGAAGATCTACACTTGGAATGGACTTGCGTTCACGATAGATCTCATACACGCCCATGTCTTCACGACGGCGGTCTCACGAGAGATCCATTTTTGCCCATAGCGGCTGCTATGGAGCATTCTGGCGGGTTCAACCCGGCTCATCTTATAGGCGTAAGGTCAGCTCAGCTCAAATAACGAATCATAACATCTACATGACGACTTTGTTTGTGCATATTCTTGTTTATCAGTGCTGCGCGTCGGATTCGTCATTGGTCACTTCCAAGGGATGCTGGCTTGATACCCTTATGTTGTGATGCCCAATACCGGCCATATCGAGCCACAGGTGCATGAGTTGTGGCTGCCCAACATATACAAGTGAGTTCGACGCCTGTCGCCATCTCCGAGGAAAGCTGACAGGGCGCCCTGATGTTGTCGACACGGGTCGTGCCAACTATGAGGTCGGTCGTGTCGAAAGACGCGGCCAAGCTAAGGCAAGCGCAAGCCCGATCCTGCACGTTCCTCGGCACCGCAGCCCGCATCTGCCAGCAGCAGCCAACTCAGGCCGCCCCGCCCCTGCCACAGCAACGAGAGGGGGTGCGTCCGCGCCCGCGGATCGACATGTTTCACTACCCAGGTCCCAACCACGCGAAACAGGGCGTTCTGACCGCATTCTGGATCGCGCCCTGCTTTAAAATTAAAAGAAAAAAGAAGAACAGGACCAAATTTGGCTTCGTCGCAACGATTGGTCTGATCAGGCTAATATTGACCGAGACATACACACGTACATTCTATAGTAGTGTTTCCGTGCCGTCTCTGCTTCGCTCACACATGGAGGACCAGGTGTTGTATAGTTCTAATAAGCATCGTCGTCATCTGTATCAACTCGGGGCTGTTTGCCTCGATCCAGACTGTCGTTGTTGTTGATGATATTGGCCCTCCTCCCAAGCGGACTGGCGCCGAAGTCACGCCTGATCAGGCTATCCTTGTCCTGAACGCCTGGTGTCCTGGTGCCACGTCCTATAATGCATCAGAATTTAGTGTGCTGTACTGTACGTATCCCAAGAATATCATGGTGGAATGATGATCATCATCATCATCATCATGATGAATGGTGACGGGGCTTTTACTTACCGGCCCGGTCACGGATTCCTCCTCCGCCGCCGCCGCTGCCTTGTTCATGTCGCATGCCTGACGACCGCATCGAAGGTCCTAGTCCGAGATCGAAATCATCAGACGATGAGTCCAAGTGGGCTCGTCTAGCTCCTCCACCTCGATTGCGTCCACCGCCCATCATCATGCCTCCGCGGCCTCCACCCCCCATGGCTTTGGCGTACATGGCCGCCATCTGATCCATATCCATATCCATGCCCAAACCCATACCCCCGTTGCTAAACTGCCTCCCTGCTTTGGCCGCCCCTCGATGCGACAGGAAGGGGTGCCGCATACCTCCATTCTTGCCCAGGATACCGCCGCCAGCAGATTGCATATACGGATTCCCCATGTTCATGTTTAGCCCCATGTCTTCCATTTCTGACAACATGTCGTTTTCCAAGGCGCCGCCGCCTCCTCCCGTGCCCATGCGCATACCACCCATACCATGACGCATCGTACCCCGTTTACCACCCGTCACTGTTGGATCAGCCATGCCAGGTGGCATCCGACCCGTGCCGTATGGATCACCGGACATCATGCCCATCTGTTGTGCCATTCGTGGATCCATATCCATACCACCACCACGATCGCCGCCGTTGTTCATCATGAAAGCACCCGGACCCATGTTCGGGCCGCTGAGAGGTGGTCTGACGGGACTTTCGAAACTGTCACGCTGACGTCGTTGCTGTTGCTGACGACTGTCTTTCCTGAGATCTTGCAGCGCTTCCAAGATGTCATCTTTGAATCTGTCGAACTGGTCTTTGCGCTTCTTGTCCTCTTTCTCATCCAGCTTTCTCTTCGTCTTTTTCTTTCTACTTTTACTCTTTTCGTCTTTGCTACTGCTGCTGTCGCTTTCACTGCTGCCCTTTTTGCAAGCCGTGTGATCGCCGCAGTCTCGGCCCAGGTCGGTTTTCAGTATGTATCTGATCTCACCGCTAGTGCGGAGGTGGTCTTGTTTGTCTTCGTTGGAGTCGCTGCCATGATTCTGGGGATCGTTCTGGGAACGGTATAGTACGCGGTGGCTTTTTCGGCAGTTGCAGCCTGTGGTGCAGGTACAAGCATCAAGCCAGGCGTTGTCGCCCTCGATCCACTCTTTCCCTGATGGTCCAACTTTCTTTTGAAAAGGTTGACCGCGGTTCAAACGGGCTGACGTTTGTGGCTCCGCCCGAGGCCGCCGTGGCTTCTCGGCGTTGGCATACGCGCCCATGGGGATTTGTTCATAGTGTCTTGGCCTTCTGCCGGAGGATCGTCGAGTGGCCTGAGGTGGACCAGGATTGCTACTCGATGACTGGCTGGATGGTGGTCCCGGGTAGTTTGTATAAGGGTTCATGCCTGGCCCCGGCATACCTCCGCCAGCACCAAAGCGAGGAGGCATTGGCGGATTGGACGTGTATTCTGGCGGCATACCAGATGGCGGTCTAACTCCCATTCCGCCCATTCCTTCTAAACCTCTCATGCCACCTATCTGCATTTCATGCGCAGATCTAGGTCTTGCGTCCATGCCGTTGAAAAGCCCTCCTGGTCCACCTCTTCGGCCCACTCCTGGCATGCGATCTCCCATCATGTTGCCTGGGTATCCGTTCGAGGGTTGTCGTCGCATACCCCTTGGACCTATTTCCTCCATCGTGTCGTGTGACGTACTTTCGTTCTCTTCACTGTCTTCCAAGATATCGATATCTGGTCCTCCGCAGTGAGGTCTTGGTCTTGGGCGTGGTCGCCTGCCCGGTGAACAGGGTGTGTAGATGGGACCGCGTGTGTACGGCTCTGATCGTGATCGTGCGTAAGAAGGTGGGTGGACGGTGAATGCTGTACCTATAGACAAACCGTCAGTACCGTAAGTTTTAGAGTATGCTAGGACCCGTGGCAGGTGGCAGGAAGAGAGGGAGAGTTACCAGGTGGAACCAAGACTTTGCCTCCTGGAGCGTTGACTTCAACGAGTGGCGGAGGCGTAGAATGCGATGCACCCATAGCGGTCGCGTTGTACGGAGCGGTGCAGCAGACAGTCGTGCTGTGCTGTAAAAGAAGACTCTTTCCGATGAGCCTAGATGCTTTTGATCCTGGTCGTACTTCTGCTTCCTACACCGAGTGATACTTTTGCCTTCTATATCGAATTCATTTCAATCTGGCCTTCTCCACTAATGACCTTGAACGTGTAATCGACAATGGTGGGTGAGGAAAGGAGTATAAAGACTGATGTGTACCCCAACTCTGCTAATCCAGCACCTGCTGGCTTGAGCCATCTGCTGACATGCCAGCGGTTGTTTGTTTGCTGTGCTGTACTCTAACGAGGACACATGAGTGTCGCGTCACGTTACACGACAGCATTCGTTGTCGTGTCGCTGTTTGTGCCTTTACGCCAGGCGAAATTCTCAATTGTCCAAACTTCTCAACGGATGAGTGTCATGTCAGGGCAGTAGCGAGAGAGCATTCGAGAAGATAGTGTGGGGTTTATGTATACGCGTGTGTCTTACGGCTCTGTTGGTGAAGCTGTAAATAGAAGTGCTTCGCTTTTTGTCTAAGCAAAGCATCATCATACTTGAGCGGAAACTTATCACGCCGCGTCCACGCGACGGAAAGCCCTGAAACATACGACATCAATAGAGCAGAATATGACCATGCCGCTCCATGATTCGCGCATCGAAGCGATGGACGGTGGTTGCTGTGTTGTATTCATTGATGCCCTGGCTGCGTAAAGACCTTGGGACTGGAGGCAACGTCAATCATACGACCACAGCAGCGCATCACGCACAGCACACCAAGCAACAATCATGCAATAGAAAAAAAAAAGTAGACTTGGGAGTCATGTTATGTTCTCATACACCTGATACAACTACTGCTCATACTCCATGCCTCGTCGCTATCAATCATTATGCAGAGTATCATAAACCCATAGCCGGCAACGCCGAGATGAATAAAACGCCTATCCAAACCAGACAGTAACAAAAACAATGATGAGATGTGATACAAAGAAACAGACGCAACGGCACCACTTCGACGTTTCCGCGGCTTTGTGTGCAACAGCGAGAATGTGCCGAAGCGCCACAGCTCAGCGAGATGGTGTATTCGACTCGGGAAACGGATGCGCAGCACCCGCACCTTTCAAATTTCTCCTCCTCTGTCGCCGTCTCCAAAACCCCAATCTTAGTCGATGAGAGAAGGAAGAGTATTGGCGAAGCTAAAACGCAAAGAAAAGCCAGTAAGTGTTTGAACAAACAATGAAAGAGGGTGACTGGTATCAATGATGGAGATGGAAAGAGACACTAGAAAATCATCGACCGAACCTGCTCTCTGCGACCCGGCTTGCTTGACTCTTGCGTTCGCGGCCGTGGCGGCGGCGCATGCGACATGCGAACATCCTTGAGAGGTGGAGTCGGTGCGTGCGATTGAGTGCGAGCGTGGCCCTTTACCGGACTTGAAGGCGTGGACTTGATAGAGCCTAGTATATCGTGCGATTGAGTGCGCTGATGAGAAGGCCGGCGGTTAACGCTCGGTGAGCTCGCGACCATGGGATGCGACTTGGTTGGCGAGATTGGCGCACCAATCTGTGATCGCGTAGCCTTCTCCTTACGCTCCTTCTCGAGGACCATGGCCGCCCAGCCCTTGTTTTGAGCAATGTCCTTGCCAACGGTCTCCGAGAGCACCTTCATCCAGGCCTCTTTCTGTTCCCGGCTGTCGGCGTAGAAGTCAATGACCTCACCGTTAGCGAACCGGATGCGGAAGCCCTCTTCAACGAACATGTAGCCCTCTTCATCCTCGGCGAACCCAGACTTGCGCCGGCCACCAGTCTTGGTTGCGGATGGTTGCTGAAGAGCACTCTTGTCATCCATGAGCTTCGAAGCTTTGGCTAGGTTGATGGTAGCACGCGGCTGTCGTGTGGACTCGTGGTAGGCCGTAAGCTTCGTGCCTTCCAAGCGGAAGAAACGACGTCGCCAGTACTGCAAAGAATGTTAGTCACGCTTACGAATTATGTTGCAGGCTTTCAACTTACTGGACAGTCACCACCCTGTTGGCTCAGTGTACCTTCGAAGCTGATGTCCTTGACCTGCTCAGCCTCTTTGAGCTCGCGAATGCAGGCATTCATGCTCTTGGGCATGTCAGAGTCCTTTGCGTTCTTGGGCTTCGGGACGTATAGCAGCTGGAGAGTGAGCTTGCCCACCCGGTAAGGTGGGCGGCGAACGACACCTCCGCGCTTGCTCTTGACACTGCTGGCGCCAGTATTATCGACGGCCCACTCATTGAAGCAAGGAATATCAACAGTCAACGGACGGCCGTATGCTTGGTTCTCGTGGTTGTTGAGGCAAACATAGGCACGGGCGAAAGACCCATCAGGTCCGACAAGGTCGTGCAGGAGGTCCCAAGCGGTGGCCTTTTGATTGCGCTTGGCAGCAGCTTGAGCCTCCTGCTGCTCCTGTTGGGCGATGCGGTCGGCTTCCTCTTGCGCTTTGCGTTCCTGCTCCTTTCTCTTCTTCGGCGAGGAGAGGAGGTTCCGGAAGGCAGAGTGTGACTTCTTGTGGTTGACGGCCTTGGCTGGCGCGGCAACGATCTGAGGGACGGCTGGAGGCTCCAGCTTGGTCTGTAGTGTGAGCTGGAATTCGAGATCATCCATGACGACAAGCTCGAACTCTTGTCCGATGGGAGCTGATTGGCCAAGCTCCAACCAAGACGTTGTAACGCAGTGCAGACCGTTGTCAAGTGTCAACTGGAAGTGGGTACGCTCGTGCTTTGGTAGGGGAAGATCAAGATCCTTGACACCGACGACCTTGACAAAGACGAGACCGCGTTCCTCGCCCTCTTCAGGCTCACCGTCATCTCCCTGTTCAGCGACTGAGTCTAGACCGCCAGCAACAGCAGATTCTTGACCAGGAAGAGGTGGTGCAGGACCCTCAGAGGTTCGAGTACGGCGACCGGATGCTGTCCGGATGCTCTTCCTGCGAGGCTTACCGTTCCAAGGCTCCTTCGTCCAGGCGGGCTTGCGTTCGGCGCTCGTCTTACGAGAGACAGGCTTGACAGCTGCATCGCTAGTGGGTTCGGTGGGGGTAGGCGGCTTCTCGTCGCTGAACTGTCGACTGCTGGCGACAACGACTTTGGTGTTTTCGCGCATCATGTATCCTTTCTGTTCGGGAACAGCATCGTTAGCGGGACTGTGTCTATAAACAAAGCCTTCACCTGACATCTGGCAGGCCGCGTCGGGGACAGCAGCGGCAGATGTAGGGAATCTGGCGAAAGGGGAAATGGGGAAAGGATTCTCTACCTTTTGAGACTCAATGATGTGATCAAACTCCTTGTCTAGCCCGAAGCTGAGATCGTTCGACTCGTCACCCAGGTCGAGATCACCGAGCTTCAGAGCTAGCATGCGGTTCTCCTTGGTGGTAATGCTCACTTGCGTATCGTCGTCATCAATGTGACTTTCTTCGTCGGCATGGCCCAACTCTAGGCTCATTGACTGGCGCTTTGGGCTGCGCTCAGGGACTGGCGGAGCATGCTGGCCACTAACCTGGCGACGCGTAGCTGCCATGTCAACCTCATCAGGGATGAGCGACGGGCGAGTCTTTAGCTTTCCACCGGCACCCCGGATTGTAGCTTCCCGTTGAGGAACCTCGGGGGCATTTTCCTGAGGCGGAGGGGAAAGAGCGACTGGATGCCGAATGACAGAGTCTGGCGTACCAGGCTCCTCAGACTCGGAACGATCCTCCTCCGTCTCGTGAGCTTCGGGAGTAACAGGGCGGCGGAGGAAGTCGCGCATGGCATCCAGCTTGGGCACCGTATCCAATGGACTGGGAACAGTCGCGAAAGAGGCTTTTAGAGGGTCCAAGCTAAGATCCATATCTTTACCTTCGAAAGTAGAGTACATCTCGTCTTGAGGCGCCTGCTTCTCAGCTGAGACAGGAGAAGAGGGGGCGACGACGGGTGTTGGTGGACCGGATGAGTCGATGGTACTCTGGGAAGTAGGCTGCTCTTCAGGCTGAGGCGAGTACTGGCTGGTATCGTCCTCGTCGTCTGACTCCTGGGGCATAGGGTGTCGGATGACAGACGACTCGCGCTCGTAATCCTCGAGTTGAGACATAGAACTGCCATCTACATCGGTGTCATCGGCATGATCGCCTTCATCTGGGTTGGCATAGCTGTAAGCGTCGACAACGCTGTCGGCCTCGCTGACGGAGACACCGGAGACCTGACGCGGATGTTCATCGAAGTTGGAGGAAGCTTCACGCGACGGAATAGGAACGTCAGGGTCGAGGTCAGCGAGATCGCCGTAGCTGCGCTCGGGGCTGTACTCTGGCTCAAACTGGCTGTACTCTTCCTCTTCCTCTTCCTCATCGTCGTCCTCGCCGCCTTCGAAGTTGCGGCTCTTGACGCGCCGGAGGATAGACTCGCGAGAAATGCGCGGGATCTTGGGCTCGTCAAGCGTTAGCTCGGACTCTGTAACGTCGACTTCTGCAACGTCAACTTCTACTGCCTTTTTCTTGTTCTGCATCTCCTGTGTTGGAGTGCTCGCATCGCGGTCGTCATCAAAGTTCATCAGACGCAATCGGTCCTCGAGCGACATGGACACCTCGCGCATGTTAAGCAAATCACTCTTGGAGATGCCGGCTGCTTGCGGAAGCTGAGGAAGAGAACGCCGCCTGTCGCCAACTCGCTCTGCGGCAGCGGACAGGCCGATGCTCGAGTCGCGCCGCCGGTTGGGGCTGCCTGGTATGGCTGGCAGAGGAGGAAGAGGTCTTGCGTCGCTATCGGAAGCTGTTGACCCCAGGCGGGAGCCATTGGTTGTACCGTTGGGACGGGCACTCGGCATGGGACTGTTGTCCCGACCTTCAAAGACATCGTCGTAGAGATCCGTGAGCGAGGTATCGGCAGCCTGCGGGCTCATGTGGCGCCAGTCCTCAGGCAGCACAACCGGCGTCTTGTCTGTGTCTTCTAGGGAGGCATCGAAGCTGTCGTCCTGGTCGAAGCTCATTTCCTCTTCTGTTTCGTCCTCGGAGTCGTAGCTGCCGTCCCGCGACATGGTGGCGACTGAAGGGTCGGGCGTGACCATCTCAAACTCGGTGATCTGAGGTGGAGCAGTGTCGAAGGTCACACTCTTAGCATGACGGCGCAGCGGGCGGGGGGTCTGGTGGACGAGCTCCTCGTCATCAGACATGACAGCGCTCGAGTCGCCGTTGTATTGTGGGGAATTGAAGCGACCGTTGCTGACGAGCGAAGATTTGGTGGGCGACACGCGCCCCTCGGACGGCGAGGGCTTGGAGGGTGAAGCGAAGGAAGACTGTGTGGGGAGCTTCGCGGGCGACGTCTTGGACGGGCTGAGAATAGGAATCCGTGTCTGGCTCTCAGAGCGGCTGTGGTGGTGGCCCTTGGCCGGGCTCTCGACTTCGTTACGCATGCCTTGGAGTCCGTTGCCGCCATGGACATTGCCCTGTACGGCGGTGCTGAGTGGGCGTCCTGCCGCGAGCGGGCGGTCGAGCGGCTGGACCGAGTTGGGGTCGTACTCGTACTTCTGCTCGCGTGCGAACATGCTGCTGTTCTTGACACGCGACTGCTTCTTCAGGTTCTCGATCGAGTTGCGCTTGGGCGAGAGGGGCGAGCTGCCCTCGTACTCGTTCTCTGACGTGTCGAAGCGGCTCTTGGGCGACGTGGTCTGCTCCTTCCAGAAGAGACGCGGGCTGTGAGTGAATGGCGAGGAGTCGCGGAAGGGCGAGCTCTCTTTGGTCAGGATGATCTTCTGGGCCAGGTTAGCAGGTATGCGTGTGGCAGTGCTGCGGTCGCGGGCACACACCTTTGTTGTCTGGTTCCAGCTGGGAGAGTTCCTGCGGTGCTCATGGGGACTGATTTCCGACAGGGGACGGCCGCTTCCCTTTGTGGGCGAGGAAGTGGGCGTCTTGTTGATGCGCAGCGGCGACACCTGTGGCCGTTGCGGTCAGCATCGCGTGCGCCCGACGTGAAACAGGCGAGTGCAAAAGGAAGTACGATGATGCTTACCGCTTCGTTGCGCGACATGTTGGCTGCTACGTGCACTCGCGCTGGGTGCGTCGTGGTATGAACGCCGTGCCGTGCGCGTGCTCGCACTCGGGCGGACTGGATCAGAAATGGGCTCCGTCGAGGAGTCGTGGAGGCTCAGCGGAGAAGGGCTGCACGCTGACGAGGAAAGAGGCAGGCAAGAAGCGAAGGGCACCGACAGAGCGCTGGGGCAGATGTGCGATGGAGAAGCGGAGGAGGATGTGTGGGTGCGCGTAGTATTGATATGGCTGGGGCCGCTGGTGCTGCCCAGTGTTGATGGCCGGGATGCAAGCAAGGCGTCGGTGTTGGGCGGTTGTCCCGGCAACGTCCCGCTTATCGGCCGCCCTGTAGCGCCTCGAATCATCGCGCCATCGCCTGTGCAGCCCGGACGCCAGCTCGGATCCCTCTAGTCAAGGTTTGGCCTAGGCAGCGCATGCTAGTCTAGCTGGCCGTCTTCGTTCCATCCTGCCTGTAGAGCCTGCCGTCGCAGCCATGTTACGCAGAGTCTCAGGCGTGTGCCCCTTCTGCCAGGTGCAGGCCCTTACACGACCACCGCCGCCGCCGCCGCCGCCAGCCCACCAAGTCCGCCTGTATACCCAGCTCCAGCGCGAACGCGGGGAACGCCATGGCGCAGCCTCTTCACGACCCCCGCGGCCCGTCCGCGGGCGTGACAATCCCAGGCCGTCGCGGATGATCCTCTCTGAAGACGTCGCGCGCTCCGCAGACAGAGGGCCGGCGAGGAAGCCAGACGCCTTCGACTTCCTCAATAGGACCGAAGCACCACGGGGCCTGCAACGCATGCGAGAGCAGAGAGAAGCCCGTGGGAGTCGCCCGGCGACTGGCCGCGACGACGACAAGCGGCGGACGCGGGCAGAGCCCTTCCACGCCTTGAAGATGCAGAGTTCGCTGCACCAGGTGCCCTACAACAACCGCACCGCCGTTAAGCGGCAGCTCGACGAGTACGACTCGTTCGACAAGTTCCCCCTCGCCGAGCCCATCCTTCGTGCCGTCAACGATGCACTGCCCGGCCTCGAGTACCGCAATCCCACCCCCGCACAAGCCGTCGCCATCCCCGCCCTCCTCGGCCTGCACAAGGCGGTGCGCGCAAAAGTAAAGTCCAAGAAGAGCGCGCCCGACTCCTTCCTCCTGGCAGCCGAGACGGGTTCGGGAAAGACGCTGGCATACCTCCTGCCTACTCTGGACGCTATCAAGGCGGAGGAGGTGCGCGAGAAGGAAGAGGCGGAGGAGCAGGCCCAAAGAGACGCCGACGAGGCGGCCTCCAACGAGCACGACAAGAGGACCGACATGTTCGCTGCCGAGGAGCCTGAGATCAACAAGGCTGTAGATCCAGCACGACCGCGCGCCATCATCCTCGTCCCCTCCGCCGAACTCGTCGCTCAGGTCGGAGCCGTCGCAAAGTCGCTGTCCCACACAGTCAAGTTCCGTGCTGCGCCAATCTCAGCCAAGATGTCTGCCACGGTCATCCGCAACCAGCTCTTCAACCCCAATGGCGTCGACGTTGTCATCAGCACACCCCCGCTCCTCGCCAGCATCGCCGAAAGCAACCCAAACATCCTCGCACGCGTCACGCATCTCATCTGCGACGAGGCAGACTCCCTTTTCGACCGCTCCTTCAAGCAAAGCACCACCGACATCCTGGACCGCGCTACGCCTTCCCTCAAGAAGCTCGTCCTCTGCTCCGCTACCATCCCAAAGTACCTCGACAAGTACCTCGCAGACAGGTTCCCCGACATGCAGCGCCTCGTCACGCCCAACCTTCATGCCATCCCGCGAAGAGTACAGCTAGGTGTCGTAGACGTAAACAAAGACCCCTACCGCGGCAACAAGATGCTGGCCTGCGCCGACACCATATGGCAGATAGGCAAAGCATCCGTCGACTACGACCCCAACGAAGGCAAACAAGTCATTCCCACGAAGCGCGTCCTAGTCTTTGTCAACGAACGCGAAGACACGGAACAAGTAGCCCAGTACCTCGTCAAAAAGGGCATCGATGCCCTCGCCTTCCACCGCGACACCGATCCTTCCCGCCAAGCCAAGGTCCTCAAGTCCTTCACCAACGACGCATCTGCCAAGGAAGCCGAAGACAGCGAAGAGAACAAGGCGGAATCGCCGAACAAGCGCACGCTCCCCAACACCAAGGTCATCGTTACCACTGATCTGGGCTCACGGGGTATCGACACCGTTTCCGTTCGCCACGTCATCCTCTACGACGTCCCACATACTACCATTGACTTTATCCATCGTCTGGGCCGGACTGGGCGAATGGGGAGGCGAGGAAGGGGCATCGTCTTGCTCGGACCCGGTGACCGAGCGGATGTAGTCAGAGAGGTCAGGGAGGCCATGTTTAGAGGTGAAGCTCTGATTTAGAAAAGATGGAGATGCGTAACGACTTAAAAGCTTCGTGTACTATATATTGTTTTCTACTGCGAGTATTTGCATCGCAAGAGTGCATCTACGATTGTCCACGATATGATGATGTCGATGAATGTACCAATCCTTCCTCCATCAGCCCCAAATTCAGAAACACGTGCTGGTGAACTACAATGATGTCAAAGTGCGGCCCACTACGGTCGTTCCCACCAAATAATCGTTATCAGCACGTCTAGCCGCAAAGCACTGACAACAACGTCCCACGCTATTTCCGTCCTCGCTAACGCTTTCGGTCGGCGCCATGGATGATGGTTTGCAAGCCCACTTGTGGCGTTTTTTGCTTCAACCCCGCCCGGAAGTGTTCCCGTACGGGGCTCCTTGTTTATCTGCGACTAGTGCCTGCGGGGTTCATCGTTGCAGAATGGCCTGGGTATGTAGTGTGTTGTGATGTGTGTGTTTTTTTTTCTTTAGGTTGTTTACTACCTACGCTTATCTGCGGCCACCTTTCATTGCGGGGTTTCCATTGTTTTGATTTGTTTGTGATCGAGGGGCGTCATAATCGAGGGGCGCATGTGATCTGAATATTTGGGCTGTATCGGTTTCTACGCAAAACAAGTATATGTGGATGGAAGGTCTAGGATACTAGTATGATGTATGAATTTTGCCCTTTCAGCTTCATATGTGAGCTTCCCATCGCCTTGGGAAGTAGATAGTTGAATTTCCCAGACCATGGATGCAAGATAAGCAGGACAAGTGAGAAAGTAACCGCCCCAAACCCATAAGACACCGCATCTCCTCCACTAATTCAAACACTCGTTTCCATCGCAACCCCGACGCAAGCCAGTCCCGCGCGCAAATATCAAAGATTCCTCGGTCCGCAAAGACTCGTCTTCTCCACCACGAGTTCCAGACTATCTCCACCTAGTCCACAAGCGTTGAACCTGCTCTTCCAGCACCCACCTCTCTCGTCCGATGGCGACTGAAGTTGAACCACCTTTGCATTGAGTTCTCGAAGGTTCTTCTCCTGAAAGGCCTTGCTCAACACATCTTTTGGTTCTTTCTCGTGGCTGAGTTGAATTTGAAGAGCGCGAGCTGCGCGGTTCGCGGCGGACAGGGTCGTGTAGATTTCAGGGCGGGTATGGGCGTGGTAGGCACGGATTGGTTCTTGGGTTGGGGAATCGGTGGATTCGGTGCCGGCATCGGATGAGGAGGAAGAGGACGAGTCTTCAGCGTCGGCTTGTGTGATTAGTTTGAAGAGGCGGAGAATGTAGCATGTGCTTGAGATGAACGATGTGCCTTTGATTGCCTGCGGGGTCTGGTTTGCGAGTGCAGAAACAAGGTCGCGCTGTACCCAGATCTTGAGGTGGGATTTGTTTGCGGGGTTGTCAAAGGGTGTGATGGAGCCAGTGAGGATGAAGCATCCATGTTCGTCCCGGTTGTTGCTCTTTTCGAAGATAACGTCGTTGAAGAGGGTGGAGTTGCTTTGGAACACCTTTTCGGCCTGCGCGTTTGCGTCGTCGAGGCTAGTGAAGGGTCGCACGGTGATCTCAGTCGCTGAGAGGGTGCTTTCGACTTGGTCGCCCTGCCAAGTCTTTTGAAAGACGGAATATTCGAAGTAAGGCTGTGCCTCGTTGGATACATTAGGGAGGCCATTAAGATCTATGATCTCCTCATTTGTCTCCGTCATGGTGTCCAAAGGAACCTGTTCTCGATTGGGTGATGATACGGGTGGTGTCACAGCCGTCTTGGTGGCATTTTCGACCGTCTTCGCTGACAAGGTAGGATTCAAATCCGTCGTTGGGAATTCATTCCTTTTTTGTACGATCGCTACGAGTTGATCTATAGGCTCGTCATCAGTGGCCTTGGAAACATATGATGTACCAGCAGTCGCATGGTCAAGACTATCGACGTCCATCAATGTACTGGCTTGCCATGAGTGTTCCGAATGTAACACTTCTTTCTCGACGCGATCAGTTGGTACGGCCAGACCCATATCAGTCGTAGACGGTTCTGTCGGGCGAATCTTTCGCGACTCTTTCGAAAAAGCCGGCTCACACACAGTCGTCGACGGAGTGGAGGGACGCTCTTGCATGATTGAGGCAAGAGGCTCAGAAGGCGTAGCTAGAGAAACTTCAGAAACTGAAGCTGAATGGTGAATATGATGCTTCTCCTGGCTGCTTGAATACGGTTCAGCAATCTGTTTCGAACCTCCAGGCATCTCGATCATTGAGGCGTTCGACGCCTTCTCTATCTGAGACGTAGCAGCTGCTCCGTGGGATGCGTCTCTTGAGGTGGCCGCAAAGATATCAGGCTGACCGACAGAGTCTGATTCAGGCAGCAAAATAGACAGTGATTTCGAGGACCTCTCAGTGGGCTTGTTGGCGCTCGCTCCTCTTGGGTGTGCTGGTACACGCAAAACTGCTGGAGTAACGTACGCATCCTTTGGAACAGCTTCACTTCCTTCGCGATCGGCTGGTGTACCGATATATGGCGGAGAGGGAAGTGCGGACTTGTGTTGTTTGACACTTCGTGCTGAGCCCGTGTTATTTCCAGGGGCTGAAGAATTTGCGGTGGAACGAGGCACGTCGCTGGTCTTCGTGGGCACCTCGCGCGAAGATGTTCTTGGGGCTACAACTGAGCCAGGGGTGTTGTCATCCTCTAATGCTGGTATTACACTCCCTGGATGCTTCGAACTAGCGGTAGAGGTCAGAGCAGGCCTCTTGGAGGCTGTACCGGTGATTTGTCCAGATCCATCGGAGATGATGTCCAATTTTCGCTTTTGAACTGGCTGTCCAGGAGCTGAGGAAGCAAATTCTGAGTCCGCTGTATCCGTGTTTGGTACGTTTGACGTGGATTCCCTGGACTTCGAGGCAGATGCTTGTGCATGATCCTGTGATCTCTTCGCTGCTTCAGGCCTCCATACCTTCAAAACGTCTCCTGGAGAAAGTGAGTGCTTCTCAGGTGCCGCATTGTTCGTAGCGATGTTTTGGCCTCTTCCAGATAGCTGAGCTATCTTCTTAAACTTACTGACTGAAGACGTCGAGATCGGACCTCTTTTAGCAATTTCCAGCTCGTTTCGGCCACTAGTCCGAGCCCTTGAAGATGGCTCATCCATACTATCATTTCTTGCATCCATTAAAGCCAAATGGAGAACACTCGTGGGCTTAGTAGCAGGTGAGGCCTTGTGACTTGGCGCATCATTCCTGTGACCTGAAAGCGTACTTGCACCTGAATTCGGCTTGCGCTGTTGGATTACTGTGCTGGACGACGAACCTACAGCAGCGGCGCTAGGGGGTAAGGGGTTTGAGCTGATCTGCTTTTGTATACTACCATAGGTTCTGGTCTCTGCGATAGGTTGTTCAGTCTCTTGAAAGATCGAGGTTGGTTTGCCCTTAGTCTTGGACATCGATGAACCCCTGACTTTAGACTGTTGATCAAGGCTTTCTGCTGCTTTTGTCTTAGAGACCGCAGTGGATCGTTTACCACGGTTTGCATCGCTACTACCGGTCGAATGCACAGGCGCTGAAGGTTGTAGGCTAAGTGGTGCAGTGAGACCCGTAGCAACGGCAGATGCGCGAGCTGTTGCGACGGATTGTTGTGCATGCATAGTTAGTCGCTTCTCCTTGGTAGTAGTCTTTGCACCTTTGAATCTTCCCAAAAGCGCGTTAAGACGGTCTTTGTTCAACCGCTTAGTCGGCAGGGTCGTTGGAGTAGACTCAACCCTCAAGCTGGCCGGAAAAGAGCATGGTTTTTCTAATCCCCGTGATAGTCTTGGAACGGGTGATCTAGAAAGGCTGCCATGGTTGCGGTCATCTTGATCGCTCTCGTCACTGCTCGTGACAACGAAACCGCCTTTCGTGCTTGGGCGCTTCCCGGTGCTGGATGAGGCAAAAGGTGAACTCGGACGTCTCTTGGCTGTGATATTCTTCGTCTTCCCCAATTTGCTATCAGGTTTGTTGTGGGTAACGGTTCCCATAGCGCGCTTGTGCTGTCGGCGAGAAGCTGAGGTCTGAAGTTGCTTGCGTTTTGCAACCACGGTTGGTGAAGAGAGCACTTGACGAGATGGAGGACGGCTGCTGCGAGACTCACTGCTATCGCTTGCCGCAGTCACAACAGACTTATGGACAATAGGCTTCTTGCGTTGGCCTTTCTTAGTTAGTAGTATCGAAAGTCTTGTTGGCTCGTCTTCTTCACTTGTCGCATATCCAGCGAGCTGTCCCAGGGATCGCAGGCCTTGAGTAGACACTGGCTTAGCAGTAGAGATTGACGACAGGGCAACCTTTGGTGTGTGAGAAGTTGGCTGGTGAGGCTTGTCAAGTTTGTTTTGAGACAGGTGATTGCGCTCGATAGCCGAGCCCTTGTCAACAGGACCAATGAACGAGGTGAGAGGACCACGCGTGAGCGCCATGACGGAAGACCAATCTTGCTGGCCGTGCTCTGCCTGTTCCAAAAGCGACGTCTTCAGTTGAAAGTCCGAAAGGATGATGTCGGACCGAATGAGAGGAACGGGGTCACATACGGGGAAATCACACGATCGTGCGGTCCGAGGAAGTCTTTCCGGGCTTGCTGTGCCCCAGGGATGTCCTACGGAGCCAGAGAAAGCGGTACTGTCGGCATGTTTGCTGCCATCATACAACGCTTCAGTAAGACTAACAGGCCTTTTGTCGGGTGATGGAGCACAAAACAGTGGAGAATCGTTCCGCTCCCCAATGTGGCGACTCTTAACATGGGAAGTGGCCACAATCATACAACATCCGATCGATTTCACCCAATTTACTTGATCACTACAAGATAAGGCTTGTTTGTCACTGGAAGAGTAGGATCTTGTCGACTCCCAATACCCGACAGAAGCCCAACAAACGCCGAGGCACTTGTACAGGGCCCGTCGGGCAGGACATGGCTTTGCTGTCGGGCAAAGCTTTGGGCCTCTTGAGCGCAAACAGCCATGGATCAGAAAGAAACAATAGGTAAGCCAGGCTGGTTCTATTAGGAGCGATACGTAAGCTTTCAGCCTCGCTGTGAGGGCCTCGTATCCAATGGGAACTGCCAAGATATGGAAATGTTCGTGGAAGCAAACGGAATGCGCTGTTCAGTTAATTTCCCAACATGAAACTCTGTGCCGGACTGACCGAGAAATGTTATATGCTTCGGAGCGCTATGTGACAAATGTGTGCCTAAGTTACTCACGGAAGTGGGCTCGCCTGAATGATAGTAGTCATAAGGCAAGTCGTCCCAATACGGATGTCATGCCAAGGAAAGATGAGTAACAAGGATAGGTTCACATCGCTGACTGTGATACCGTTTGTAGTAGATAATTGCTTCTCGGAGCATTGGATAAGAGATGCGAGAAGGCGCATACCGAACGCGTGTCGAGAGTTAATGGCGGAGCTGAGGAAGGGCATTGAAGCGGAAACACAGGAAATTGACT